TAAATAGAAGACAAAAACTGCATAAACTGGATACTACTTTATATGATTTTTGTCATTTTAAACACTGCTTATGTAATAGCTTTCATGATAGGATCACTACATTCGGTGTAAAAGGAAGATACAATGTACCTTCAATGTTTTTTCCTTGACACAATGTACTCAGTATGTAGAAAAAAATAAAATAAAGAATTATTTAGTATTTAGGTGTCATGGCCAGTATGGGTAAGTCATGTTATTTCTAAATAATGGAAAAAAATCTGCGTACAATGGATACTTCTGTATGTATTTTTTGTAATTTTAAACACTGCTTATGTAATGGCTTGCATGCCAGGATCACTACATTTGGTGTAAAGGGAAGATTCGGTGAACTTCTAATTTTTTTCCTTGACACAATGTACTTAGTATATAGAACAAATTCTTTTTAGCTTCAATAGATAAATATAAAATATCTTAAAACAAAAATAAATATTGATGAATAAATGACATGTTCCAATCAACTATCAAGTAATATTACTTTATGAGGTTAGTACAGTGCCCCAGCAGCCTAAAAAATAAGCTGAATCATTATATATCTTTAAAACTTTTGGCACATTTACACTATAACTATTACACTACTACACTATCAGTGAATCAGAATGTAAGGCCTAACAGCACGCAAGCCAGCTCTAGATGGATAAACACTGGTCTTTGTTGTTACAGAGATATAAGCAACCAGGTGTCTGGCCCTAGTGGAGCCACTAACAGGTCTATTCACAAAAAGGTGAAGAGTTTGGAGAAGGCAGGAGAAGTGAACAATCTAGGACGACAAAGATGAACTGGAAAGTGAGCTGAACTGGAAAATGTTTCAAAATCGGCTATTTTGGCCTAAATTGTTCACTTCTCCTGCCTTCTCCAAACTCTTCACCCTTTTGTGAATAGCCCTCTAAGAATTTTTCACTGTTGGAAGACATATCCCTAAGAAGAAAGACAGCACGGAGGAGATTCACTTTACAGTATATCTCTAGGCAAAGCCTTTTTCTTACATTTTGAATGCAATAGTGAAGGGTTAAAACTTTTACAGAGGTGCCTTAATCTTGTTTGGTATTTTCCCAAGGGGTATATATGTGGGTTTTTATCATGTAGTCACTTGTCACATTGTCACCCTGATGAAGGGACCCTGTGCGGCCCCGAAACGTTGGTATTTTCGTTTGTGACGACTTGTCCTGATAAATGGACGTTTATTATTTGAACATCATTTACCGAGTGCTGGTGATTCCTGCTTGTCACTGTTGTTGTGCACGGCGCCATCCGTGAGTATCACTGCGAGCACCACCATTGCTATTTGGCCGGATGTGCTGTGAGGAGTGCGGAGGGACTTACCATTTTCTACGCCGTGGTACAAAGACAGCAGAAAAATAACCTGACAGGGGTTTTAACCTTTCCCTACTCAATCAAACACAAAAAATTTTGGCTATACATACACTTTAAGGTGAGTTTACTCCGCATTTTTTAACTACACATCTAGTTACATTTGATTGCTTAATTACAGTTTTATGTCCTCTAAGGTTTTGTAAAGTTTATAAAGTTCACTTCAATAATGATGATCCCTGCAATAATAAAAAAAATCACTAAATAAGACATATAAATTACCTTGGATGTTTGTCTGCTATACACCGGAATTCTTTATGCCAGTTGGGCCTTCCATAGTTTGTTTTATGTCTTAAGCCAGTAATTACATCTAGGTCACTATCATAATGGAGAGCTATATGCGTAACCTAAAATAGATATATGACATAGAAACAGCACTCGTTTCAATGTGAAATACTTTAATAATTAATTAAAATATTGGTTAAAAAAGATAGAAGATAAAAGTGTTTAAATATGAACCATATACAGAAATATGATAGACAAATGATGGATTAACAGATAGATAGATAGATAGATAGATAGATAGATAGATAGATAGAAATTTACCAATTAAAGCATTATGTGCAGAGTGGATTTGTATTTTTGTATTTCATTGTTTTAAATTCATTCAAAATAAGTAAAGTCATATATTGTAAGTAATATATAAGTAATATAAGTAATAAGTATAAGTAATAAGTAATATATTGTAATGAGTTACCTGAGCATTATAATTATTTCAATCAGCCCACTGCAGCCCCTTTTTATTATTGTCAACATCCTTAAGTTCAGCACATACAGAAGTTTATATGGTAATATAATTATAAGTCAACAAGTGATTCTCATAATAGTAAATAGTAGATAAAGTGTGCACTGAAACTAGCCTATGAAGTGCAGGGATACAAATGTAAAGATTAGAACTGGAGGATATAACTTATGTGTGGATCAGAGCCAGAGATATAGGGGATTCTTGTTTTAATAACTCATTCTTGTACAAGGGATTGGTATTTTACTACTGGAACATATGCATGTATAATATCAATGTCATCTGTTTGCAGACAGCAAGCTCTTTATCACAGAACACACCCAAAAATAAAAAATGGTATTCTAGGTTGGCATTTTGACCAAAGGACTGGTAGTGCAGTGAGTGAGAGAGTGGTAGATCAGAAGGATCACCAGTGGTTTTGTCACAATAAAGGTCAACAATTTAAGTATGAGTTATAAAAATGCAGGGTGTGGAAATTTAGCAAATGGACTGAAACCAAGGTGCCAGAAACAGAATGCCACCTTAATCTTTGTCAGTATGAAATTAATAATGCTGAAAGCACACCACAGCAGCAGTTTTCTACTACTGTGTTATGTTGTTTTACATTTTGTATTTAATTTTCTATTTATGTGCAATAAAGGCAAATTAATTCAAAGCACATAGGAATAAAAGGAAAACAAAACTTTCTGTCCTTTACCTTTTTCTTACTTTTTTGTGTATTTTGTTAGTTCCTTTATTTCACAGAAAGAAATAGACAGCAACAAAAAAATGTAAACTTAAAAATTAAATCAAATTTCCCTTGTTCTGACATTCGTTCCTCTAAAGACTGAAGTAGATCAGCAAACCATTCGAAAGCATGTGTATCCCGGCAGAGCCAATAAAAATACACCTGAAAAATAAAAGAGCAAGCATAATTTACATAATCAGGGATGACTATAAAAGGTACTTAAATAAACCTCAATGGTGATGCAATGCACTTGACCTGTAGTAGAGCAACAGCCAGATATGTCCACACCAAGATGACAACAATGTATATAAACATAAAGATAAGAATATTTGTTCTCCTTTTCCACTCTCTACATCAGGGGTCTCAAACCTCCGGCCCTCCTGCTGTGGTGTAACTACAAATCCCATGATGCATCTCTCTTCGGGAGTCATGTCTGTGGCTGTGAGAATCATGCAATGCCTCATGGGATTTGTAGTACCAAAACAGCTGGAGGGCCGGAGGTTTGAGACCCCTGCTCTACATATTGCCCAATTTCTAGCACAAAAACTTTTAACCTAAAAACACCTGTGCTCAGACGGCGCCCATATTCCATCAATAGACAGAATTCACAGTAACAGAATGGCCACACAAAGCTATCAAAGCTTTGTGGAAAAAAAGGTAAATAAAAAAAAAATCAAACTTTATTGTCCACTTCATTTATGTAAAAACAACCCATGCGGATATATACCAGAATCTTAAAACCATGCACACACGTCTAATGTTAATCCTCCAGATTCACAGAGATCACAGAATATATGGACTCTGTAATTCACAGCTTACAACCAAACATTGGAGTTCACAAAATCTACAATTTCATATAAAAGTCATCCAATGGTATCAAATAGTTAAAAAACTACAGCAGGTTTCTTTTTTTTTTTGACAATGCTAGATGTATGACTTTCTCTAGTTTCAGTACTTTCTCAGTCACTGATCTGGAACAAGCATGCAGCAAGCAACTTGTTCTGAGTCAGTGGGACTAATAAACGAAAGCAAATGAACAAGTGCAGGGATAAATCATTACGGCATGCTTGCATTGCGTGTCCGTATGCATGTGTAAATGTCCATGGAAAAAGCAATCGCTATCCCTGAACCCTTCTGATTGTTTACTGGTTGATAGCTGATTGTTTACTGGTTTTCAATATCTACAATGCAGTCCTAGTTTAAAGTGCACTAAGGAATATGTGACAATATTTTAATTAATATTTTAAATAATAAAATGCACATGTGTCAAGCTAAATGGCACGTAAAAAAAAAAGTACACTGTGCTATTGAAGTAGCATATATACCAGTATGTATCACTGGAATCAACGTACAAGCACCAGTGTATATGATCCTGTACACTGACTAGTGCTTGAAGTTCTATGCATGCACAGAAAAGCACCTATGCAGTACAATGTCCACAGCATGCAGTTAACTGAGGCTTTTTACAAATTAGGGGTTTTTATAGTCTCCTAATATTAGCCATGTGCATTCAGTGCAGTTTTGTTTCTACACAATAAAGTGACTTTTAATTGTTACGGTCTCCAAACTGCCTCTGGATCTTAATCTCTTCGATTATGTTAACCATATCAGTTTATAAAGCTCAATTCACTGTTCTCTCAATTTTGTAAAAATGTCAGTAGTGGTGACCAACCATCTGAATAATTACAGTCATCCAGGACCCCCGCAGGGACTGTGCCTCTGCTATAATCCTGGTTATCTCAAGTAGTAGTAGTTGCTTGGCTGAACTCGTTGGTAATTATTATTATTATTATACAGGATTTACATAGCGCCAACAATTTGCATAGGTCTTTACAATATAGGGAAGACTTAACAGTTACATTACAATTCAAAACAAGATGGTTATATCTGTAAAAAATAAGTCAAGGCAACTATATTTTTCTTGACAAAGTTTCACTGGTCATCCAACCAGCTTTCACAATTCAGAATGATTTGTACAATAATTATCTGGGAATAAATATGGTGCATGCTACTCCAATCTACATACAGTGGTACCTTGGTTCACGAACGCTTCTGTTCGCAAACAAAGCGGTTTGCACACAGGAAGTTCAGCAAAATTTTGCTTCCATTCCCAAACTCCACATCGGGTGATGAACACAACCGCAGCCATCTTCCCTGCTCTGACACATGGTTGTGGCTTCCTCTAGTCGAGATCGCGGTCTGATCACAGTTTGGTTCGGTTCGCGACCAGAATCGTGGAACGAATTGAGTTCGTAATCTGAGGTACCACTGTAATCTGTTAGTCGCCACCAGGTGTTGATTGCATTTGCATTATTGGAGTTAGGAGGTGTTAATAACCTGCCCTGAGAGAGATGTGATCATGACCAGTGAAACGTCTTCAAGAAATATACAGCAAGTCCAGTTGCCTTGACTTAGTTTTTGCAGATATACCATGACCTGGATGAATGAGAACCTTCACAGACAAGATGGTTATACCTTTTCCAGTTTCATCGCTCTGTTTGGATCACAGGAATTATACCAAATAGATTTCAGCACTGATGCAAAAGGTGTCACTCCAATTCCAGCTGCAATACATACACTGACTTTATAGTTAAATACATTTGTTGTTGCTGATCCATACGGTCCATCAGCAGCCAATCTGCGTATAAAAAAGAAAATTGCAAGCTAGGGAATGTAAAGTTTTGAACTGAAAAACTACAACAAATGTAAAACTTATACCTAGAGCAATAGATAGCTACCAGTCTGTTTCCATTTATTGGATTAGAAATGAGCAGACTGATCTGCTCTTGCTCAACTCTGATCTAGACTTTGCAGATTTAAAGAACCAAAGTTAACCGACCTGTACTGTGTTTTCACTTTACATTTTACAGTCAGGACTAAATCACATGTTCAATAGCAGTATTGTTGATCTTGCTTGCAAAGGTCTGGCTCGATTAATTGACCCTTTACCTCTTTTATCTGTTGCGCTGTTACCGCACATGCATTAATTTGCAGTATTTTGCACATTAACGTGTTGCATTAAAGTAATATAAAACTCTTGTTTGTTTTTTTAATCAGCACAGTAGACCCATTCTTACTTAATTTCTTATAAACCATCTACATTCCTTCAGTATTTTGTATGTCCATTTCTTCTGCTTGCTACCGTGTCTCTTGTATTCCCAGTCCAGTACTAGTCTATTCCTACAGCATTCAGTTATCTCTCTGTGATGCCTCTGTGGAGTTCAACAGTCATTCCTGGTCTGTCTCAGTGTCTAAATCATTCTCTGCTCCTCTTAGGTGTTCCTGTTCTCGCTTTACATCCTGCTACCCTTGCATGCTTTAGATAGAGGAAGAGGCTCAATGAGGATTAAAATACACCAGTCACAAGAAAAATTTGAAGGCTACTATTGCTTATCACCTTTAGAAAAAGTTAACTGCTGGCTGAGTCTGGTTTCAATGCATTGTAATCGTAGACGTGGAACAATGAAGCAGCAGATTATTCCAGGTCAACGACCCAAAACATTAAAACCAAAGCACCAACTGACAGAAAGAATTTTAAGAATTTCGGAAAAAGAGGTTAGCAGTTGCAGTCTGCATAGTTCTCCCATAGCAGGTGTATGTCACCAAGTATGGAGTGAACACATTAGCCTGGGTTACCTATGATTCTTGGCTTGTTATCAAGTCTGCCACTCATCTTCCTGTGTCTATCACATCTGTTAGCTCAGCTGAAACCGTTTTGAATTACAGAGCAGGTACAGACAAATGAGGGACTTATTGGGCAGGGACAAATAGCCTGATGTATTTATTAGATACACGTTACGTGTAATTTCAGGTGGTACACTGCTTGATTCAGCAAACAGAGAGAATTCTCAGGCTACACTGAGGTCTACAAATGTTGGCATTCACAAACATTATCAGTTTGTGAGTAAAATACAAAATGTACAGGTTAACCCTTTAATTAAGTAAAACAAATCTTAATGTCTGAACCCAGTTTTGCAACTTTGGCATGTATTAGTGAAGCTTTACATATCGTTACATCTACTGTGTATCCAGGTGAATTACATCTTGTTCTGTTGGGGATAAATCAGGCCTTCAGTTGACGGTAAATGTTAATGGCTATCTGCTGAATCTTTGTTATCATCACAGGAAACCTGGGCCAAAATAGTTAAAAAAAATATTTTTTCTAGGGATGCACCGATACCGGTATTTCGGTACCGAGTACGAGTAACGATAATTTTTTTTCGGTACTCGCCGATACCAATTACCGAGTAACGGAGGTCCCATTCAGGAAGCCAGGTGGCATGTAATAACTCGCCACTTGGCTTCCTGATTAGCCAGGAAGCCGGGCAGCGTGTAAAGACTCGCCACCCAGCTTCCCGGTTAACAAGAGACTCTGTCCCCTCTTAACTTGGCATGTCCAGTCTGTCACCCCCAGGGCCTCTCCAGCCAGAATGCGGCCTTCCTCCGGCACCAAGCCGGCGCCGCCTGGCCGGCCAATCATGGAAGCCGGCCAACGTGTAATGACGCCCTGCTTTCTGAATGGCCGGGAGGCCGACTCCATTCTCCCTCGTCATGATATGACGAGGGAGCATGAAGCCAGCCTCCCGGCCAATCAGAATGCCGGGCGCTGCGTCATTACACGCTGCCCATCTTCCTGATTGGTCGGGAAGTCGGCTCCATGCTCTCTCATCACAAGTAACGAGAGAGCATGGAGCTGCTTCCCGGCTTCCTGATACAGGAAGTATCGGGCTAGGCATTGGAGCATTTGGGCGAGCACGAGTACTCGCCCAAATACTCAGTATAGGCACCGATATGGATACTAGTATCGGTATCGGTGCATCCCTAATTTTTTCAAATGTACCTGTATATTTCTTAGCATTGCCATGACTCAGCAAAAAGAGAATTTTCCTACTCCTGTCCTGCATTGTGATACCACATATGCACATGTGTGTGTGTTTTTTGTTGTGTGTACCCATAGTAAGGCCCAGAAACAATAGTGCACATTTAGCTTTTTTTTTTATTCTACCTAAAACACAATGGGGGGATTTATCAAAGCAATTGAGACAATTTTACCCTCTTAGATAATTTTTTTTTTGTGCAAGTCTGTCTTTTAACATCTGCCCCTGTTTTGCCCTGAGCTTGCACTACTTTTCCAACTGCACATGCTTTGCACCTGTTTTGCCCCTGTTTTGACCAGAGCTTGCACTACTTTTTCAATTGCACTTGTTTTGCACCTGTTTACATCTGCACAGAACATTCACAGCTTAAGAAGTCCCCATGACCTCTTCTTCAAGAAGCGACAGTTAAACGTTTTGCCTGGAGTTACAAGTCTTCTTTCCTGGAGTCTATTAAACCTCATTTATGAACAACATTACACTAGCATCTTAAATCTGGTGCAAAGTGCATCAAATATATTCAGTGCAAGTTCAAACACTCGCAATTGCTATGATAAGTCCCCCCCAATGACATTACCACTGACATTGATGTAAAGGAGGTAAAGTGATAACACAGGAAATAATGTCATGTATTGCAAAGATGTGCTGCATTTTCTGCTATAAATTTTTATTAAAACCAGAATCAACAGAGTACTGCGAGTCCAGAACCAACCACATAGTACAAAAAATGATTTAAGTTAGCTCATTATATTTTACACATAGTATAGTAATTTAGTGAGATTCTCTAGTTGCTACAATGAGGCTAATTGATTGAGCAAAAAGGCTTTTAAGAGCAGTGCGTAATCAATAGGAGCAAGACATACCTCCACTCTGCAAGACGGAAAGAGATAACATTGGAGAGACAAAACAACAGAAGAAAGGGAGGTAAGTGGAGAAATAAGACCAGTAGTAGAAAGTACAGAAAGAGGGGACATCTCTGGGACCCTCACAAACTGTGAATGATTCAACAGAATCGTCATGGAACCTCACAAGTTAACAAGATGTCGATTAAATGAGGGAGCCAAATAATGACAGATCCAAGGATCCCACACTTTTTAGAATTTGAGTCTAGCAGTCTCGCAGTTAGCTTTTCATTGGTAAATGCTCATTGTACTCTGTGTTTCACTTTAGCAAAATATAATGAATCAGACAGCCATGCTTTTGCAATTGTCTGCTTCATAGCCGTAAGAACGTGGCGGCATTAGGGAAAACCAGCCGGCTGGAGATTAAAAAGTGCCTCAGATGGCATCACTAGCACATGGGCACCCAGCAGGGTGAAAAGCATCTTGTAGACCCCTGACCATAGTCTCTCACTACATTATGGCCAAGGACATAATGCATGATGTAGCTGGGAACCATGTACCAGCGACATGCTGCATTTTTTACCTTGCTATACACTTTTTTTCCCCGTTTCATATCTCTCCACTTACAACTAAGTAAGGAGCCTATATTGTTCAGGTCCATTTTACAGGAGCAAAAGATTGTATTCTTTGTGCATGTTTTTTCATTATCCTTGTGCAGTCCCCGGTACACCACAACCACAAGATACAAGTCAATAACAGAAGCACAGCTGTACAGATGACTAATTTGCAGACCTCTGCCTGCTATATGTCCTCTTCTACTGAATATAAAATAAGTAGATTATTAACATATTCTTTTAAAAGAAGGCATATGCTGTAGTTAATGTATGTGTGTTGGAGGACATTTTTGTTCGTTTTTTTGCCACATCTTGCATTATTGCATTTGGAAAGACAAGGTAAAAACATCACTCAGCTACAATAAAGATGTGCAAGAAAATCATATGAATTGATAGAAACTATATAGTGGGTAACCAAATTCTAAATAATGACGGTAACAAACCTAGGCAGCTGCAAAAGATTCTGATGGATATTTCTGTTTGTCAGACAAGCCGTAATAAGGCTTTGTGTCCAGTCTCCAACAGCTCTCACATGTACACTGAAAAATGTCTCTTCTGGAGCTGATGTTAGTGTAAATGGATGCCACTCTAGGTGTGATACAGAAGGGCACTGAAGAAAAATATACTGTCCTGGCTCCATGGTAAAACCACGTTTCTTCATTTGAATCTCCAGAACCCCAGAAGGATGTGTGACAACCTAAGAGATACATTACAGATATAAGCTTCATGTTTAAATCACCAACTTTCAAGATGTGTTTATTACTATATGTTCTTAGTTCTTAAAGGGTATCTATGATCAAAAACTAAAAATAAATAAATAAATAAATATGCATTTTTATATTGAATTTCCATGAGCTCTATCCCACTCCTAATAATCATATCATTTAACCCCTTTGTGACGGGAGACGTACACTGTACGTCCAGCCACAAAGGGACCAAATGACTCGTCACGTACACTGTACGTGACGAGTTATTTGCTGCACTAGAAGGCTGCTAACCGCTGAGAATCAGCGGTTACCTTTCAGTAATAGATGTCTAACTATCTAGAGATCCATTACTGAAAGGGTTAACCTTTTTCAGACACCCGATACCTTAATATCGGGTGTCTGAGAGTCACAGCAAAGCAGACACACATGTCGGCTTTTGCTGGCATTCTGACAGCTCGTATAGATCGAGAGATATCTCTCTCAAGCTATACTGGCTTTTTTTTTTTATCTTTTGACTTTCAAGAATAGATACAAAATGTTATGTATTAGACACATAATGTATCTATTCTTGAAAGTAGAATGTTTAAGTTTTCTGAAACATTCACTGACAGCTGAATCCTGAACTGCTGCAGGATCAGTGTCACTAACTTATTATCGGCTGTTCTGAAGTTTGAAGCAGCCTGATAATAAAAAAAAATGTATTAATTTATCAAGCAGTAATAGTGAGATTAATTCACAATGACTGCCTGATATAATTAAATAAATAAAATTTGTCAGTATAAAAAAAGTGAAAAGTGTAAATAAATTTAAAAAAATAGTGAAAAGTGTAAAAAAATTAAAAATAAGGGACAAATAAATGAATGTATGTATTGCATTTTTTTTTAGCTGTGCTGGTTTTGTTAAAAAAAAATACTACAAATCAAAACTGGTTTACGTTTACGTTTTTTCCTCTTTTTTTAATTTGTATTTGTCCTAAGTGAGGCGTTAGACACACATATGTGATATAAATATATAGCCCTATCTGTCCTCTAAAAAACAATATATAATATGTGTGGGTGCACTTTGTAAGAAAGTATATTACTGACGTGGAAGAATCACACAGCAAAAATGTCAAAAGTGTGTCAGTCATTTACGAACAGAAACCAAAAACAAGCTCAGTCATGAAGGGGTTAAGTTTCTGAAGCACTGTCACAATTTCATTCAGCCCTGTGAATATGCACTTTGTTTCACAACTCAACATCTGAACAATGTAACATTATCATTGCTTGCTGGAAACAATGCAAGATGGGATATGTAGTGTTGAGAAAATGAGATAGCATCCACATCAAGCAGCAGGAAAAGAGATGCAAAGCTATTGGGAGTCCAGGAAATTGTTCAAGGTGATGAGCAGATGGAAAGTAGCACTCACTGCATAAAAGGAATTATTTTCAAGTAAGCTTGCATCATCAAAAACAACTCTAGTATATAGTCCTATTACAATGCTGATGCTGTAACTGGATGGTATATGATGTGACTTTAGAATGCCTTTAAAACATTGTGGCGGCCGCTGCAATTGTTTGTGTCACACAATATTAATGCAACTGCTTGTCAAACCCAAACTTTCTGTAAAAAATACACAATATAATACCTGTTTTTTTGGTAAAATATAGAAGATGAGGTTACGTTGAGTAAATAGATACCAAACATGTCAGTAAGGTGCTGCTTCACAACTGCCTGAATCACTTCTACAACAATGCCAGCAGCTGGGAGAAAAAATGTAAACTCACTCCCAGCTGCTATTAGTTTGCATGTCGGCCCTGCTGCCAACATAAAAGTTACATTGGTGACAGTGTGTGTATGTATAGACAAAACATGTTCTTTATCTCTGATGTGGATGGTATAGATAATGGTTAAAATACCTGTAAATTTCCTTATGCTGCCTGTTTCCCATTGGGAATATTTCCCTTCAATTTCTGTCTCTAAGATGCAGCAAGAAGTGAGATAAAATTTCCACTAAGTGAAGGAAATTCCCCTCTTAGAGCAAGTGTTCTCACTGGAAAGCTTACCCTTACCTCTTGTTCTGGCAACAATTTTGAATTTGCCATCACTCTCGGTCTTAGCGGGAACCAGGACAAAAAAAGTGGGTAAAGTGGGCCGTCCCTCTCTTTTTCCCCCTGCTCTTACTTGCCTTAGCTCTCTCTGGTGACTCTACTTTCTTGCCTCTTATACTACCCACTTTTATCTTTCCTCCCTCATCCCCTATGCCCATCTACCCCACTCACCTTTTCTTTAGTGGCTGTAGGAAGAGTCTACTTCTTTCTCTGCTGCTGCCTGGTTCTAGGTTGCACTTTGTTCTCTCAAATAATTGTTACAAACTCCACTTCATGTGGGCGTGGAAAATGCCTATGTATGGTAGCCAATGTGATGTGCTCTCTATGTGCCTTGGTTATACCCCTGAGAAGCTAGATTTATATTTTCACTTGCCCACTGGTGGCTGTCTTAGAAGTTATGGGGGCGAGGCAACAACCCAAATGCACTACTTGATTTTCTTTTATATGTCAATATTGGCCTCAATTACATCGGAGTTGCTATATGTTATTTTATGGAACCATTTGTGTCCTTGCATTGTTATGATATACATTGCTTATTGGATTTACATTATCTCTCTGTTGTTACTGTCTTTGTTTTATACTATCCAATTCTGTACGTTTTGCTACTTTGACAAATAAAGAATATATTTTTTTTTAAAAAGACTGGGTGAATCTAACTAGTAAGGACAATAGACAACAATTAAAACTTGTCAGGGATTTTAACAATTACCTACACTAGCCAAAACAAAAAATACTTAAATGACACGTTGATTTGTCAACTATACTTCCTATCACACATAGGCCCATTGATTATAGGAGAACACTGATTCCACAGATAAGATCCCTCTATCTCAGAGCTAGCTGTCAGAGCATTGTGAAACATTCTATAAAATTGTAAGCTTAGCTTGGCCAATATTACATATAATTGCAAAGAAGCAGGGACATGAAGTAGGACACTGGCACAGGCTTAACACTGGAAGAAATGATAGATGGTCAGGAGAAGTTTTTTTAACCTCTTCAGATTGCTCCCCCTGAGCATGATCACTTATTGATCATATTCACAGCACCCAAAGACATGAGAGCTGCCCAAAACAGCCAGAACTGGCAACTCTCTTCTAAAGTCTATGGGTAGCTATACAACTTACTATATATAGTATACTTTTTTTCAACACACGTGCTTTAGTCTACAAAACACAAAACATTTTCATAGACCGTGAGAGATGATGCATCTTGTACAGCCACAGAAATAGATAAATCACTTGTTTACTATCTTTTAGCAGTGCTTTTTTTTACGCTGTACTACTGCTGACTCCATTGTTACTTTTTCATAAAACCATACATTAACGTTTGTGAGTGCGCTGTTATAGTGACCTGATATCTACAGGTTGAACTAGGACAATCTACATATATTTGCTAATTCCATTCTGATACAATAATATAGTTACCTTTGTGATTATAACATCTTGTTTAGACCTCCAAAAACGTATTAGCCTCTCGCAGACATATAATGCCAAAGGACAAGTGACCCATTTCCAAGTCTGTTAAGAAGAAATGCAGTTTGTTACACATATTCAATTGCCAGGATTTGCAAGCCATATTAATAAAAAAAGCATTAGGTTAACTCACAATGTTGGTCAAGTTGGGAATAGAAGTAAAGGCAGGTGCTGACATTTATTGATATTGCATTTAAAATGTACCATTCTTACAGCATAATCTCACTACTAAAATACTTATGATTACGGATTATCTCTAAGATGCAATTAACCATTGAATCACATTTATTATAATGGATATTTATATAAATGCGTATTCCAATTATAACAATCAGATATAAACAACAAAAAATAATACAGCTTTTTACTCTTTGATGGTTGAATAATTGTATTTTTAATACAAGCAGTGTAAGTACCTGAATTTGACTTAGTATAGGCCTCTTGCAGTGCTGGTACAGCAGGGACCAGGCCAGGAGAGGGGAAAGCAGCAAAAGAAGCCAATCAGTTGTGCTGCACTGTCCATGTGCTAGCAAAGAACATACTGATAGTGGAGAGAGCAGAGTGATAGAGAGATACGCTCATCATTCTGCTGCTTCTCCTTTCACTGTCCAGTCACAGGCTACAGTGAGTCCAAGACCTGTAAGAGTTACTTAACTGTAGCAGAAAAAAATCATGTATTCTGCCCCGCCAGACAGGGCTGTATAAATCACAGGACCGAATGGACAAAAATAAATATAAATCCTTTGGCAGCTGAAACAGTTCCCAAATTTGCTGGATTTACAAATACCCTGCTTCCTAAAATGTTCATAATATTCCAAAACTAAATAATTTGACATCTGACACTGCACAACTGTAATACAACACTTCTTTTAAGCCCCCTAGTTAGAATTTATTTTTAAGGTTGTAAAAATAATAAGTATAGTTGTATCTCTATCAATTCATGTAATAAACATCACTTTCGCATTCTTACAGCGGAGAGGCGACCGGAGGGAGATCGTGTACCGATCTCCCGCTGATCCCCTGTCAGAGAGGCACTGTGCTGGTTCCGGGCTCGCACTAGAGCCCGTGATCAGCGTGACAACGGGTGGAGGGGCCGCGGAGGGAGGGGGGGACACGGGCCGACTGCCCATACAAGCGATCCGACGGCTCTATATATTATGTTAACAGGCATCGCTGCCTGTTTTTAAATTGGCTGTATTTCCCGCTCGCGCGTGCCGCATGGCTAGTGGGCGTGGCTGATCTAGAGAGCTCCCGGCCGGCCGTGAGGTAGTTAAGGTAGGGGCCTGGAGCTGCAGCTCCCTTAATCCTGCCTTACCTATGGCAAGGGGCGTGCGGCCGAACGGGCCGGGCCAAGGACCCTGGCGGGCCGGATCTGGCCCGCGGGCCGCAGTTTGAGGACCCCTGTGCTAGATTGTTCACTTCTCCTACCTTCTCCAAACTCTTCATCCTTTTCTGAAATAGCCCTGTTAATCTTTTCACATACAAATATTTTGTGGTTCAGGTCTGGGGAAGAGGAGCAGAATTTTGGACAAAACATCCCATCCCTATATATATTTTTTTATATCTATCAATACATACTGTATATAGGCTCTGTTTACAATTTTCAAATTAAGGGGTCTATTCGAGTGAACGACCGACCTGAAGCGAAGTGAGCCGAACGCTGTTCAGCTATTCGCTTCAGGCTTGTACGGCTGATTCCAGCTGTATATATCGGCTGAAACCAGCCGTACATCGGGTGGCTTCGGCTGGCTTCGGGTCGGCCGAATATGCTCAGCAAAAAAAAAATCCCCATAGGAAAGCATAGCTAGATTTCTAGTGGCTATTTCACTTTGCAATAGCCAATAGCAAACAAGCTATTGCAACCGCCCTCTGCTGCTGTCAATCACCAGACAGGGACCTGATGGAGAACTGCATGTCCCCCTCTGCTGATTGACAGCAGCAGTGGGCGGGTGCAATAGCTAGTTTGCTATTGGCTATTGCAAAAAGAAAAAACCGAGCAGGGAAAGGTTTACTCTGCTTGATCGAGCAGAGTGAACCTTTCTGTGAGAAAGCCTATTACACTCCCAGAGTGCCCGGGGGAGGAATTACAGATGGCGTTCCTGGTTACCGGGTAATCAGAAACGACATCTGTCATTACACACTGAGAACACGGAGAGGCCGCTCTCTGCAAGTGGCCGGAGCCAGCCGTGAGATGACAGCTGGCTCCGCCCAGCTGTCAGAAGCTGGCTGACGGCCAGCCAATGGCCGGCCATTCGGCCAGCTTCGGCTTTCAGCACGGCTCAGTCGAGCCGAGGCATATGCCTTCGGCTCAACTGAGCTGCCCGGACAACTTCGGGAGCTGTACGGGCTATAGGGAATAGCCCGTACAGCAGCCCTTCGGTTCTACTAAACCGAAGGGGACCTGGGGCCGAAACTAGCCGAAAGATCAGCCGAAGCTACGGCTAGATCCTTCGGCTGCTTTGTGAATAGACCCCTTAGTTGTCTCAAGGCAGAATTATAACTGGTTATGATTGTCTTACGCACCATTTAAAGCAGGACTCTGGTCAAATCAAATCTTAACTGTAAGGGTTAAGTGCTTGGGTTAAGTTATACTCACCTGAACCGTGTATACAGCTGGCTCCTACACCGCTCCTTCCAGCCTCTCTACTCCTTCACTCCAGCAATGATATGTCCCTTGGCGTCCTTACATTCTATACACTGTATAAAAGATGATGACTCACAGAACATTAGACCGCTGGAGTGTAGGGGGAGCAAGGCTGAAGAGACTGGTCTAAGAGCAAGCAGGCATCACAGTCTGGGTGAGTATAACTTTGTTCACTGTGCTTGTGATGGGAATGTATATGGAAAATTAGAAAAACAGCATGTTTTCCAGCACATCATTAGGTGAGTGAACACAGCTTCCCATATTTACTAAACTCAAAGAAGGTTCACTTTGCAAAGTGAATAGTCTCTACTCTTTCCGTCAATCAACCTCAGTGCTGAGAATCAAATTAAAGGCAAGTGTTTGCATTGAGCAAATCTCTCAGATCCATCAAACTTGGTGATAGATGTATCTACTGGTCTAACAGTACATTTATTGTATTATAATACTTTATGAAATATCTTACCACTGGTTTGTTGCCGGAAAATTGTGGAAAAGGACATTGTTCACTTTCTCCCCACTCATTGTAGCGGTCTTTACAATATGAAAGATTATGCTGTAACAAACTCTGCGGAGTCTGCCCACGAACTATCTGCCTAGAGAAATAATGGATATTGAATTCAGCATGTGGGAACTTACAAGTAATTACAGCTAATGTTATGTCATGAAAGACATTTATCTGGTTATACAGCATGACCTTTAATTGTTCATTAGCTTGAAACTTAGGGTTTGAAACATTCCACTAAATAGAACTTAACAGATAATATTCTGTATCAATGCAGAATATTATTCTTTTCATTTTTATATACCTGGGGTGATGAATAAATGGTGTAACATCTATTTTAATTGTCAGTTTGTATGTATTGACCAAACTGTTATTTTAGTTGTGGGTAGAGTAGGGAATAGTTAAAAGTCCTGTCAGTATATTTTGTGCTGTCTGAGTCCCATTGGGGAGATTTCCCTTTATGTCCTGTACCAATGTGGAAATGTACCCAGGTAAATGTTTTAATGAGAAGGGTGATAATAAATGACATTGGGAATTATAGGGTGGAAATTGGTTTATTTTGCATGTACAATTTATTGCGATGGATGCATTGTATTGGTAAACAGTATATGTATATTCTATTTTGATGTTTTGTTGGAGACCTAAACAGCTATTGTTTTATAATGTATCTGTGTAAAGGGCAAATTCAACCCCTATGTCTATTACCATTACTATAAGTATAATGAATAACCAAAATGATAATGTTTGGATGACATATAGTAGCACAGGCTTATTACTGGCTGATGTATGGTAGCATAAGCTTATTAATGGAATATGAGAAATGAAATTACATCAGAAAGAAGATCCCCCTTTAATAAATTGACACAGTAAAGTAAGGTGATATGTGGCAGTGGTATGCTAACCAACCCTGAATAGAACACAACATTTGCTGCACTTACTAAATTAATGAGATATAAAGTAATCATTGTATAAATCTGTTATGAATACTGTAAGGGGATACTATAAAATGTGATTCTGGAATGATAATGATGTGATTCATCCATTCACATCAATCATCATCATGTTCTTTTTTTACAGTCTAGTTTACATTTAAACATTTTCTGCAATTCATATTAATAATACATTCCACTAAAAATATAATTATTTAATATGATAGCTCCTTAAATTATTGTACAGAAATATAAATCATTTTAAAACAATATAAGTGACACTGTTAATGGATTTGGTTTGTAAATTAGACCTGAGCCAGCAGATAGTTCAAAAGATTCTCAGCTATCAGCTGGAAATTGTGGATGATGAGTGCTACACTATGAGCTGCAGCTATTGCCAGTTCCTAGGCCTGGTAAAACGCTCAACATGTGAAAACCAATTATTGCCTGTGGGCATGGTTCCCACCTGTAGGAACGCGCTGCAAAACGCCCTACGCCCAAAGAAGTACAGGAGCTTCTTTGGGGCGTTTTGCCACGCGTTGGTATTCCCGAGTATGGATCGGGGTTAACAAAGCGGTAACCCCGAGCCACACTCGGGAATACAGCATACAGGTCTTACCTTATCCGCGATCCCCGCTGTGTCTTCAGCGGCTGCCGACTTCGCAGGGGGGCGGAGCCGGCGGGAAGTTTAAAAGTGAAACTAAAAAAAAAAACGTATTTTTTTTTTTATTATAGAGAAAATAAAGGAAACCATTTGTTAAAAATCATACCGCCAGTGAAACGTGCATTTCACTGACCGAAAAAACGCAAAAAAAGCAAACAAAACGAGCTGAAAAACGAGCATAAAAAAAACGCTCAGGTGTGAACCCAGTAAGATGCATAGAGCAATCCAGCAGTACTGGATCTGCTTTCTCAGAAAACAGCTAATCAGCAGGGGCGCAAGTGGAGTACGCTTGCTTTTCATCATCTGCTAATTAGCAGAGGGGTGTTTAACATTTATTCAGGAAAAGTTGTCTTAAGCTGGCCATACACCTATAGATTTTCTGCAGATTTTCTATGGTCAGATGGAAAAAGATTCCTCCATCTACGCTAAACTGTGTGGATGGAAGAATCTACCACTGGGCCAAGCTTCAGTATCTTGCTAGTCAGCCCCGCTGGCTCTCAAAACACCTGAACAATGCCTGTATCCAATCAGATTGTTCAGGTATTTTGACAGACAGCGGGCCCTACTAGCAAGATACTGAAGCTTGGCACAGTGGGAGGTTCCTCCATCCACACAGTTTAGCGTAGATGGAGGAATCTGTTGCACTTTTTCCATCTAACCATAGAAAATCTGCAGAAAATCTATAGGTGTATGGTCAGCTTTAGAACCTAAAGCAAAGAATGAAAAAATCACCCCTTTCCTCTTGAGTGAGAGCCACACAGGTATGAAAGGCAAAATATAACACCATCTACTGTGTGTTGGGAATGAAAAGGAATACAAGAAGGTACAAGAGTAAAACTTTTTCACTATTACTAGGACATAAAAATAATGTACGTAATACAACACATTCCATAACAGTAATTAACATAAATTTAACAATAACAATATGCTATCTTCATTATAAAAAAAGATTATTATAACTGCTGTAGATACTTAGCCACAGTATGGTTTGTTGTCAGATGATTATGGATGGTCTTAGAAAGCATGTCACTAGTCTTGCCAGTTTTTACCAAGGAGCTAATAGGATAAATGTATTTATTTCTGGTATTTATATAGCACCCACAATTGCTTTACTTTTTAAAGAGGAGCCAATTAACCTACCAGCATGTCTCTGGAATGCGGGAGGAAACTGGAGTACCCAGAGAAAATCCACACAAGCAGAGGGAGTACACACAAACTCCTTGCAGATAGTGATCTGGCCAGGATTCAAACCACACAGAAGTGAGATTGGAGCGATGGTTAATTTACAACACACACAGGGACCACGGGGACCCTCCAGAAGGAAGGACAGTGTCAGCACGAATTCAGAGATGATTTGAGGGTCTACAGCTGAATGATGCACGTATAAGATACATTTTTGTTTATAGTTAAGGTACTTTAATGCATTTTTCAATTTTAACTCCTGAGTTTAGTATCACTTTAACAGCTCTGACTGCAATCAACTAAACCGGAATGATTGCTATGGGTTATTGAAGTTCAGATTTTTTTTAAATGTAAAGCCTCCTTCTTAACTGCAAACTCTTACAGACCAAATACTCTTTAACGTCTAAGTTTATTAATGCATGCCATCTCAAACACTGCTCAAAAGTACATAATGAAAATCAGTAAAAAGTTATGAGACCATTAATTATCACATTTACAAGCAAAGTGCTAGAATGCTTAACAAATGCTTACCCTGCACCATGTATAACAAGTCCAATGAAGAAAACAATGGCTAAGTTATGGGTATACCAGAAGACTTCATAGAATGACCTTTTTATGGTCTCTGTGGATGAGGTTATAATTAGCACAAGAGCCAATGTGATAATAAATCCAGTGATTCCAGCTAGTGTGACAATTGTTTCTTTCGTTATGTTCTAGAATAATAATAAAACATTTTAAAACATTAAAAACACTGAAAACATTAGTATTGTATGCTGTGGGGAAGACAAAGTGCAAATCTTCACCATGCCTGTTGCTGCTGCTAATTTTTAAAAACAGAAACGTAAGACTGTTTGAAAAATCTTCATTACCTTCTTTTTCTTAAAGTGACCCTTTTTTCTTGCCCTGCATGTTAAAAGGAGACTCACTTCAAGATGGTGTGGTATTTTAAACACTGCACAAGCACCAAGCAAGTCCTGTTCACGTCCTTCAGTTACATTGCACAGGTTTTGGAAATGACTGACATGGCTGACTAACATGAAAATATAAGACTGCACTTTCAGAAAATGTATTGGGCTTTATCAAAGCTAGTTCAAAACAACTTACTGTGTCATATCTTCTGACTGGATTTAAATAGCTCTCATTAGGATGATTGCCAATATATGACAGTGTGTTACATAGTTCTCCAGCATTCAATGACTGACTTCTGTGGTATCGTTCTATATTAATCATATGGGCAACAATGTGAATAGCTGAAAAAAAAACATGCTAATAAAAGTATTGCAAATTAAAAAATCAGACAGTGGATATTTATAAAGCAAGGGTAGCCAAACTTGGGCCCTCCAGCCGTGGTGAAAATGAAAATTCCATCATGCAACCACCTCTGGAAGTCATGCCTGTGGCTGTCAGAGTCTTGCAATGTCTAATGGGATTTGTAATGTCCCCACAGCTGGAGGGCCAAAGTTTGGCTACTCTTCTAAGACTTGTAGAGAGCAGTATAAACTGTTTTTTTCAGACTCATATCTGCCAGCAGGCCCAGAATTTCCAGAGCAGTCCCAGATTCCAGAGTCTGTGGGCAGTATAGAGCCAAATCTTTATATTCACACAAATATACAGTTGGTTAATCAAATGTTATTTGCAATTTTAAACCGGGCAGACAAATTAGTCAGTGCTGTCTACTTTTTAGCTGAAAAGTAATAGTTTGGTTAAAGTTGTTATTTTATGTCATGGTGGATTTTAGGCATACTAACAAGTTAAGGTTTTAGGGATAACCTCTTGCCCTAATGCTATTTACCACTAGAAGTCCATTGTAGACACTCGCAGCATGGTCTATTTACAGAGCTTTTTTCAACAAATGTATAGGCTTTTCTTTTAAAAGTAAAAATTGAAAAAAGTGAAAATTTAAAGTCACATGCACATGTACAGTATAGCTGTTGGCAAGTGTTTTGACTCTTTCCAGAGGATAGTAAAAACTGGTAAGATTAGGGGATCATTTACAGGGTTATTCACAAAAGGGTGAAGTGTTTGGAGAAGGCAGGAGAAGTAAACAATCTAGGACAACATCGCTGAACTGGATAGTGAGCTGAATTGGAGAATTTTTCCAAATCAGTTATTTTGGCCTAGATTGTTTACTTCTCCTGCCTTCTCCAAACTCTTCACCCTTTTGTGAATAACCCTAACAATTAATCTCTAGTCAGGACATTTGTTTATATTATTATAGCACTGTTTTCTTTAAAGTATCTTGCTATGAATTTGCCCTCATAAATCCTTGCCCTTCCATATAATACATGCTGGGGAGGTTTCTGGAAAGGGGGCAAGGTGTGTGTGTGTGTGGGGGGGGGTGATTCAGAGTTGGCCTTTAATTTGTAAAAAGGGTTTCGGTGGTTGGAAATAACTTGTAATGTCTCTCTATGACAGCATAGAGCATGCTATGACAGCATAGCATCTTTTTTTAAGATCCCCCAAGCTTGGCACATGCACATTAAATTGCTTAGTTAGTTAGCTGGTAATATATATATATATATAGATATGTATCTATACAGTATATATGGTGTTGATGTGTGCATTCCATAGGTAACTTTATAGAACCAGAAGTCACAATCATAACAAGCTAGTGCTGCACCACACCCACTGAATATCAGTGTAATGATCAGTTAGGTAAGTTCAGGGATCGTAATCGCTATTTGTTTGAACATCTGAGCCCATGATCCAAGAGCACCGTGACAATTTTTCCCTGCTCTTTTTCCCAGTATCTAAAGGGAACTAATATTAATGAATCCAGGCAAGTGTGAAAATGAAAATGTTTGTGTTCTCCTTTATTAATAGGATGCTGACAGCATAGCTTCATTATTGTACAAAGATGTGTGAAGATGAAAAGCCAGGATAAGCACAGATCCCTTGAGTGGCATTTTTAGTTCGGCTCTTGATTACAGATAACAGTGTTGTGTATTCCTCTTTGAAAATGCACTGGCTCTAACAGGCCCTAATTACATCCTTTCCAATTTTAGCAATTAAAGCTTGCATTTGAAGTAGTTGAGAACCAATGAGAAATTAAAGGTTAGCACGTAAACATAGATCTAAATGCACTTCTTTCAAGGTTGCTCACCTCTATTAGAAAAACCTGTTATTGACGCAGCAAGATAATGGCAGATGCTAATAAAGTAGGCTTTGTATATTTTAAACGCAGAAGGAGCCAATTATTGGAAACAATGCTTGAAAAGCATCAGTGGATACTTTCAGCAGGATACGACTATTTTGAGATCTTTAATTCTCTGTAAGAAATCTAGCTATATTATGTGATTGAAAGTATTCTTCCTATATCATTTTATGTGACAAATCAGAGATAAAGTATAATGTGCTATATTCTAATGTGCTATAAAATACTGTGCCCTCTTTACTCTAGCATCACCGTTTTTGTTTAAAGCTACATTCAATTAAAATAACTTACATAATAATAATAATAATAATAATTATAATGTTTTAAAATATTCTGCTGCCGTTTGCACTCCAAATTCTCCTGCTGTCTCCCATTGTGTACAACAGTGCTTTTTTATGCACACAGGAGAGCTGTACACTCTAGTACAGCATGCCTTCACTTTAGCTTCATTTGACAAGCTTGTTGGCGCAACTCTTTTTTCTGTGTTCCTAGATTGACCATGTTCCTGTGTCTTGTTGTTCTGATATTGCTGACACTAAATTTAGGAGTTAAGCCTTAAAAATGCATTAATAATTAATGTATTAATTAAAGTACCGCAACTATTAACAATACTGTACCTTATTTGAGCTGTTGCTCCTCAAATCATCTCTGAATTGGTGCTAATACTCTCCTTCCTTCTGGAGGGAGGCTACTTTTGTTCCCTTTGGTCCCTGTGTGTGTTGTAAAGTAGCCACCACTCCCAGCTTGCTCCCATGATGGACTATAATCTCACATTTAGTTAGCTAATTTGCATTGAAATTATAGTCTATCATGGGAGAGTGTTTGGAGCAGAGGATACTTTACAACACATTCAGGGACCAGGAGGAACAAAAGTAGCCACCCTCCAAAAGCAAGGACAGTGTCAGCTGTAATTTAGAGATTATATGAGGATCTACAGCACATAAAAGCTACACTTTTGTAATAGTTAGGGTACTTTAATGCATTTTTAAGATATAACTCCTAAGTTTAGTGCCACTTTAAAGTGTGGGTAAAACTTTTTTTAGTTTCAAAAAGAGTAGGGAAGGTTTAGCCCCTTTGTTTGGTTTTGAGTAGTTCCTGTAACCATTGTCAATAAAATCTGATCATTTGGCAGCATCTATGCCCAGTTGGCTTTGATCTCTGCTTTCTATATAAATTCTATTCTGAGTGTTACCCTCTTTTTTACTTAAGCTAACTCTTGTTTTACTTCAGACTGCCCTACCACCCTTTAAAGAGAACTATGAGGTAAGTGTTTTCCCCCATAGTTCTCTTAAGGGTCACGGGAGGACATATACTAGCATCCTCCCATGACCCAAAGCTTAGTATATCGCAAGCTACAGCTCGCAGTATACTGAGACCGCCGGGACAGATCCCGATAATGCTGTTGAGAGCCACCCAGCTGGCTGATTGACAGCGAGCTCTGCTTATCTAGAGGCAGAGCCAGCTGTACCCGCCCCCTCCCCATCTGTTCCTCCATTCAGCACTGGAGGATCGGAGCGGTGATGGGGGGAATCCCTGCGGGGAGCCGTGACTGGCAGTCACCGCTCTCTGCAGGGAGATGATCAAGAAGTAAGTGAGCAACAGTATGTGTTCGCTCACTTCCCGATCTATTGAGCCGACGTGTGACACTTTCATTGTCACACGTCGGCTCAAACTATGAGGTCGAGTGATTTTCACTCACCTCATAGTTCTCCTTTAAGCTTCTGTCCACACCCTGAAGTGCTTCAGCCACCCTGCCCAGCCTCTATAGTCCACTGCATAATCTACTGCAAGTACCTAAGCACTAAACCATTTGTGTAAGGCACATGTGTCAAACTCAAGGCCCAGGGGCCAAATCCGGCCCACCAGGCCATTTCCTAGACTTCTACTTTCAGATCTACGTATTAAGTTATTACTAAAACCAGTGATAATCGAATGCAGAGGCAATTATGATAAAGATTAGATACATTTATATAGTCTTACAGATACCTTTGAGGGCAACCATAATGTTGATGCGGCCCACGATTAAATTGAGTTTGACACCCCTGGTGTAAGGCATGCTACTAAAGGTGAAATATAGTGCAAAAGTGGTTATAATACCTCAGCTAATACCTTTAATGACAACATAACAATAGAGCCCATACTAAACTTCAATGAGGAACTCATGGGAAAATTCCAGGCCCTCAACATTTCAATGGGTGAGGCTAAAGTTAGTCACTCAAGAGGCTACCCACCAAAAATCTACCCACTAACCTAAAGATCCTTTTTCCCAATAGGTTCTCTTAGGGGGACTGCCGCTTATTTGGGAACTTCTAGAGTGTCTACAAACTGTCATTTTCTCTCAGGCCTCACACACCTGGAACCAGATAACAGAATGTTTTTAATATTCCTGCAACGTCTGAGGTTAATGTATGACAGCCCAGACAGGGGTGTCCCTGTGTTACAGAGCCAATATCACCTTGATCTATGTGATTAAGAACCATGTAGCTTTGGATTTCCAAAACGTCCTAATTAATCAGTACTAATCCTCATCTATAGTTATGTAGGCTAATACTATAATCATATGACCAATTACTACCTCATACCCAGTCTTGTTGTTAGACTTTTTGCCTCACCTCTTTGTGCTAAGAAAAAAGATGCAAACTGGGGTCACTAATCTTTCAGAAACTGAAAGGTGGCGGTGCAGTTCTAAAATCCTCTACCTGTAGTTGAGGAAAAAGGAAAGGTGTCCCTGACTATACAAAGGTCTTGGCAAAATTGCCACACAAAAAAACCAAAAGTATTCATTAACACTAATTGATGACTTCTTCAATCAGGTTGTCAGAGCTAAAGTATTTACTAAGCATGATATACAGGGGACCAAAAACATAATTCTAGACCTGGAAAATAAGAAATCACAGTCCACCTTTATTACCAAGGTTGAACAGTGATCTGTGTAATGCAACTATAATCCTCGAACATTCTTGCCTGTGATCAGTATACTAGATGCTATCTCCACTGGTTTATTATCTGAACTTACCTAGGTCCAGTCTGATTCCCCACTCTAACTTCTAATGTCTTTTTTTAAGATAGGTGCATAGACATACTCACATTTATTACACAAATATGTATATACATACATTCAGCACACATTTCTGGAACTTCAATAGTTTGTTCAATCCAATATGACTGATAGACATGTTTACTAAGAACGATCAACTGTGAATGTTGGTTGCAATTTGACAGAGCAGTTACCTGTATTTTGTAATACAATTTAAGTCCACATTGTTCACATACATATCTTAAAAAACGATTTCTGGTACATAGAAAAGTGATAAATGAATATAATATAAATTTAAAAAAGCTAATTTACCTGAATGAAGGCCAATCATATATCCAATTAGTCGGTGAAATGTCATGTTTTTGTCAAGCAGTCTTCTCATATTTCCACTGCAGCACTAAAAAAACAAACTCAAACAATAATGGTCTATACACCACTAATGCTATAACCATAGCAAATGTTTGCTATAGTGGAGCATAAAATAGAAACATGTCAAACATATGTTATAATCAGACGACAAAGCTATACATACACTTATAACTGTTTAATTTAACTCACCATACTTCCTCTAAGTAAGGAAATGAAGTTTCGACTAACTGGAATCAAAATCAGCATACAGTTAAAATTCAGACACATCGCTGAAGCTCTAGCCCAAGCCAAAGAGGACTGTGAAGAAATATTAAAGATTTTAGGGGCATTTCATTGTATAGTTTATTATATTTTACCTTGTTTATGCATTTTAGTCTTAAATCAGTATGCACATATAATTCATTTAACATTTGAAGAAGGGCTATTTATTATTTTCTACATACTTATATAAAAGAAATGTGTTTTTTTTCATCAGAACATTCTGCCCTGATTTGGATTACAGTGCAGAACCCATGCCTTCCGTAGGCACTAAACTGAATTTGTCAGGTGATGATGTCCCATGCCAGTTGGAATATACTGGCACTGTAGTTTTCTATATTAGTCAACAGCTGGCATGCACAGTCAAGACCTAAGGGAGTGAGTTGCTGACAAAGAGTAGAAAGCCATCACTCAGAAGTGGTTCATTACAATTTGTTGCTTATTCTGTCATGTTTATTAAATTCATTAAACAGAATGAAAATAATAACCTATAAATTTCCCAGTTCTGCCAGGAAAGGAATAATTTTCTCTATATTGGTAACACATACATTGTAGCAATTCTATCACTGAGACATATGAAACATTGAAATCAATATGTCATTTTTTTTTCAGGGAAAATATCAGTTTGCAGCTGTTTATAACAATTCAATTGCTCTTTTCATTTTTGCTATATGCTGACAATGATGAAAATAATCCATCAAATGCTATTTTGTGGAGAGATTGTGCCAAATCATAATGTATTTCCTTTGAAATATTTTTAGAGTATTCATAACAAAGAAAACTAGATAATCTTGCATCCTTTTTTCCATAGATGTCTATAAAATATCCCTTGACCTATAGAAAAAAGTCTGGTTCAAGAACTGAAAACTAGAAATCTTGCCACTGTCTTCTGGAAATGAGTGAAAAAAATACACAACTGTTTTACAAATATCTAGTTTCACCACAAGATTTATTTTCCAAGTTTGCACTGTTAGGAGAGGAATCTATGAAAATAGTGTTGCTCAGCTACTAAAACTTTTTTGTGGACTGCAGTGGGATGGCTACACTTGCATGCTATACTGAGCGACACACCAGCCAGCAACAAAGTCACACACTCCAATATTTATTCGATAAGCTTATGCAATGTCACAACATTCATTTTTATCCAGAGATGCATTCATTTTTTCCCCAAGATCTTGTAGTGGTGATGGGAGAGTCGGACCACAAGTCTTCTCCAGCACATACCAAAGATTCTCCATGGGGTTAAGATATGGACTCAGGTGGCCAATGCACGCATTAAAATGATGGAGTCTATTCACTAAGCTGCCAAAGGATCTAGCCGTAGCTTCAGCTGATACTTCGGCTAGCTTCGGCCCCAGGACCCCTTTGGTTCAGTAGAACCGAAGGGCTGCTGTAGCCCGTCAGTATAGCCCGTACAGCTCCCGAAGTCGGCCGAGCGGCTCAGTCGAGCCAAAGGCATATGCCTCGGCTCGACTGAGCCGAGGTGAAAGCCGAAGCTGGCCGAGTGGCCGGCCGACAGCCTGCTTCTGACAGCTGGGCGGAGCCAGCCATCATCTCACGGCTGGCTCCGGCGACTTTCAGAGAGATCAGCGTCCCTGGTTACCAGCCAACCAGGGACGCTGTCATTACACACTGAGAGCGGCCTCTTCGTGTTCTCAGTGTGTAATGACAGATGGCGTTTCTGGTTACCTGGTAACCAGGAACGCCATCTGTCATTCCTCCCCCGGACGCTCTGGGAGTCTAATAGGTTCCCGGCCGCCCGGGAGAGAAACACTATCTCCCAGAAAGGTTCACTCTGCTCGGTCGAGCAGAGTAAACCTTTCCCTGCTTGTTTTTTTTTCTTCTTCTGACATCGGAGCCGTCAGAAGAAAAAAAAAAAAGAAATCACCATAGGAATGCATAGCTAGATTATTATTGGCTATTTCAATTTGCAATAGCCAATAGCAAACTAGCTATTGCACCCGCCCACTGCTGCTGTCAATCAGCAGAGAGGGACCTGCAGTTCTCCATCAGGTTCCCCTCTGGTGATTGACAGCAGCAGAAGGCGGGTGCAAAAGCTAGTTTGCTATTGGCTATTGCAAAGTGAAATAGCCAATAGGAATCTAGCTATGCATTCCTATGGTGTGTTCGGGTTTTTTTTTTGACAGCAGCAGAACCGCCTGGCCAATATAAAACAGTTGGGCGGAGCTAGCTGTCACTGCTAGCTCCGCACAATCATTTTCTAATCTTTTTTAAAACTTTTTAAACTATTTTTCTATTCTGCTCGGTCCACAGAGGGACCGAGCAGAACAGCCGAGCCGAATGCCGCTCAGCGGCATTCAGCTATTTACTCACTGTTGTTCGGCATCTAAGAGAATAGACCGAACAGCAGCTAGTAGCCTGCCGGAGGTTCGGCGTAGCCGATCCAGATGTTGGATCGGCTGAGTCAAATTCCTTCTGCACTTCGGGTCGGCCGAACATGCTGGGCATGTTCGACCGAACAGAAGCCACACGAAGCCACCCGATGTACGGCTCATTTCAGCCGATATACGGCTGGAATAAGCCGTACCAGCCTGAAGTGAATAGCCGAACAGCTTTCGGCTCACTTCGCTTGGGGTCGGTTACCCAGATAGCAAGCAATTGAACTGCATGTTTGAAAATGACTTGCTAAACTATTGCAGACTTGCCAAGCTTCACAATTTTGTTGCACAATTAAAGCTAGTCTGCATTGCAAGTGTCCAGAACAACGTGCTTTGCAAAAGTGCTGTACACTTGCAGAGCTCTTGTAAGACCTGCAGGACTCTTGCTGTAGACTTGCCAAGCAAATTTGCTACAAATTCAAAAAGTGTCAACTAGAACTTGTGCGGCAAGTGTTCTGCAAGTCTACAACTTGCCAGGAATGTGTGCAGCAAGTTAATACGAATTACAATTTAACCCTGCCACAAGTTTGTGGCAAGTTATCCTTGCTATCTGGATAGTCACTCGGCTGCCTACGGCAGCTTAGTGAATAGACCCCTATGTTTCCTGAATCACTCTTTCACAATTTGAGCCCAATGAACCCTGGCATTGTCATCTTGGAATATGCCCAATGTGCCACCAGGGAAGAAAAAAATCCATTGATGGAAAAACCTGGTCATTCATACATTCAGGTAGGCAGCTGACCTAATTTTTTGGGGACATAATGTTGCTGAACCTAGACTAATTATCCAATGGAAGGCTCTTACTTATTTGCTTAGCTAAATCCAGGTGGTGACTTTTTGTCAGGCAGTATATAATATAATTTTTACTAACAACATATTTGTAGAAGACTTCATACTTACACCCAGGATGACTCGAGTATAGTAGTAGGAATCTACGTTTTCATACCAGATAAAGTTGTCTGTAAATATGTATATATTTAATCCCAGCCAAAGGACCTGCAACCAACATAAGGAATGTTATGGGTTGTATGTTTAATGTTATGTATTGCATTAGGAAAATAAAGCATATATAAAACATGCAATTATAAAACCAAAATAACCCAACCCCATCAAAATGCCAACTAATTGTCTTTCTATTTTGTTTGACAAAACTTATAGCATGAAATAATTTATTCATGCACAAATTCTAAAAATCTATCAAATTAAATCAATATTAAAGCATATTATGCAAAATTGCACCACTACACCAAGCAGAGCACTTCAGTGTGCGTAGTTCCATTAACAAAAAGCTCATCACCGAGCAATCAATAATGAACCATACTATGACTGCACATTTTAATCTCTTTGAAATGCAACTTTGTAGCTTATGATAATCTGCCGGTGCTTATGTAACAAGACAAAGTTTCACACCAGGAAGAGCATAAGAAGCCTAGCACATTTTATGTGCACTATGAAATATTTAAAGTTTGTTCCAGTCTCTTAATTCAGTAGCAGCTACTTAATGGTGAAATGATTTGTTGTTTGTAGAAGCCAAAGAATATGACAGCACCACCCAGCATGAATAAAGAGCTTAATAAATTTAAGACAGCAATAATATAGATCCCTTGTCACCATAAACAATGCAGTTTCTTTAGCAAAAATCACAGTTTTAACTGTAATAAATATCAGTAGCTAGGAATTGCTAATATATGAGTGAATGCAAATTTTCTATAGCTAAGCTTCCTATAATTACCAAAACAATACATTCTCAGTCTTAGCAAGAAAATACATAAATATGAGCTATTACATATACTTACCATAGTCAAAAAAGTTGTGGTTTCATTCAAAATCCAATAGCCCATCTCAGGATAAAGCTGCTGTACTGCAGTAGCAATATAAAGGTGAAAGACCTTTTAGCACCTAGTGTCTGGCACAGCTCAGTTCCGCTGCTCTGAACTGAAACATTTCTCCTTGGAATTTTCTAATTAAAACTTATCTGCCAAAAGGCCATCACCAGCCTGTCAGAGTCACGTGACTAACACACTCATAAAGGTAGTCTATGTCCTATGCCATTCTCTTGAGTAAATAAGATGTGCTCTTTCACTGTTAATTAAACGATCTTGGCTTGTTTTTAATTAGCCTTACATTCACACATTCAATTTAAAACATATTCACTGATAAGCACAATCATGAGGCTCCTTTTTGCAATGTATTCAAATATGCATCCTTTTGTCAGCCTTCCCTGTCAATTATATAAAAATATATATTTGAATATTATTTAATGAAAAATATTAATTAATACATAGTAAGTCAAATTATAAATGTAGAATGTATAAATGTATAGTACAAGAGAGTGGTGGTAGAGCTACCACTATCAGATCCACCGTGCCATGTCCCCATTATGCACCTCCCAACAAACCGGGGTCCACTAGCTCCTGTTGTAATGAATTTGCTGATGGTGCAGCCAACACTGCACCTATCTCAAACTATCACCCATACCAACTTCTTCTCTCCTCTGAAGACCTCCTGCTCTCCAGCCCTCTTGCCACCTTCACCAATGCTCACCTCCAGGATGTCTCCCATCCTCTGGAACTCCCTATCCCAATCTGTCCACAATCTGTCCACTTATCTCCTAATCTGTCCACCTTTAGATGATCCTTAAAAATGAATTTCCTCAGTGAAGCCTATTGCACCTTGACATATCCATCCTTTCACTTCTGCCATGCATGCAAGGGATCTAACTGGCAAAATTTAATCAGCAATATGGTGGCAAGATCCCATGCACGCAGTATTGTGACCTTGTCATAATTGCGCAATGCAAAGAACCATCAACATATTGTTAATGTTATATGTTTAGTGCATATGTAGTGGAAAAGGGGGCTCACGCAGCAGTGACAGGAAAGAGAGAGATGGAGGAAAAATTTAGAGCTGAGGAGGCAGGAGTACAGCAAAGGAAGCCACAGCAGATAGTAAGGGAACAGAATATATAGAGAAAAGGGTGCAGGGAGCAGAGAGAAAGAGATACAGCAGAACAGATAGAAGAAAGCAGTTAGAGAGATAGAGAAAGGCAGCAGAGAGAAATGAGAAGACAAAGTATAGTGAGAGAAGAGTGCAGGAAGCAGAGAGAAAGAAAGACTGGAGTATAGATAGAGGAGGGCAGTCAGGGCCGATGCTAGGTTATTTTGTGCCCTAGACAAGACCAGCTACTTGCACCCCCAAACCCCCCCAAAAAAAAAATTGCCATGTTTTTAAAGACAGATTTGTAGAAAAAAATAAAACTATACAAGATGAAACTGTTAAATTATACAGCACTGCAAAATACCGCCAGCTATAAAGGACAATATGGGGTCTATTTACGAAGCTGTGGAAGGATCTGGCCATAGCTTCGGCCGATCCTTCGGCTAGCTTCGGCCCCAGGACCCCTTCGGTACAGTAGAACCAAAGGGGTGCTGTACGGGCTATTCACAATAGCCCGTACAGCTCCCGATCATGGCCGAGTGGCTCAGCCGAGCCGAACGCATATGCATCGGCTCGGCTGAGCCGTGCTGAAAGCCGCTTCTGACAGCTGGGCGGAGCCAGCCGTGATCTTACGGCTGGCTCCGGCCACTTTCAGAGAGATCAGCGTCCCTGGTTAACAGCTAACCAGGGACACTGATCTCCAAACAGTAAACTCTGCCTGGCGCCCCGGGAGTCTCCTGCTCCCCGCCGCCAAGGAGAGAAACACTGCTTTGTCTTTTTTTCTTTATTCTGACACGCACATGTCCGAATAGAAAAAAAAAAATGATTTTTCCCATTGAAAAGCATTGGGACATTACTATTGGCTATTTCAATTTGCAATAGCCAATTGTAAAATAAAAATGCAGAATAATAGTATATAAATTTGCTACATACTCTGTGCTGCTGCTCTGTTCCGGGGTGTTGGCTTGATGTCTCGGGCAGAGGGTCTCAGGAAGGGTGCAGAAAGTCTCATGAGGGGTGCAGAAGGTCTCATGGTGGTGTAGAGGGTCTCAGGAGGGGTGCAGAGGGTCTCAGGAGGGGTGCAGAAGGTCTCAGGAGGGGTGCAGAGGGTTTCAAGAGGGGTGTGGAAGGTCTCACAAGGGGTGCCGAGAGTCTCAGGAGGGGTGCGGAAGGTCTCAGGAGGGGTGCAGAGGGTTTCAAGAGGGGTGTGGAAGGTCTCACAAGGGGTGCCGAGAGTCTCAGGAGGGGTGCGGAAGGTCTCAGGAGGGGTGCAAAGGGTCTCAGAAGGGGTGCAAAGGGTCTCAGAAGGGGTGCGGAAGGACTCAGGAGTTCTCAGGAAGGTCACAGGAGGGGTACAGAAGGTCTCTATAACTGCTCAGTCATATACAATCACAAGAATTTCTAGTGATTTTATAAGACTGAGCAATCGTTTATTTTATGACAATACAAGTTACTATGTGAGAAATGTAAGGAATAGTAACTTGCATTCTCATAAAAAATAAATGATTGCTTAGCCTCAGTGCCAACACAAGCCTACCAAGATAGAAAGGAAGGCAAGAATACAAATGCAGGCAGGGTAGCAGGAATACAAAAAGGGAGAGAAAGGCAACAGTAGAGGCAGTGGAAGAAGGAGTAGAGAAAAAGACACCGGAGCAGACAGAATCTGGAGCAGTTGCCCATTGTAACCAATCAGCTTCTATCCTTTAGTTTCAAAGCTTAATTGAACAAACTGAAAAGAGAAACTGGTTACTTTGGGCACCTGCTCTCTATTCTATCTGCACCAGTTTTGATACATTTCCCTCATTGCATCTAAAAAATGGAAACCTAAAGTGACATTAAAGGCTGATTCCCCCCTCCTCCCCCCAAAAAATCTTCCTTCCAACGGTTTCCAAAAGTCCCTCCAGTGCTAGTGCCGCTCTCTGATCCTCCTGTCTTCTGTGTCCCACAAAGTCTGTCTGGCGTGCGCACTCCCGGCTGCATGTATTCACTTCCACTGTGTCTCTCCACCTCTCCCCTTCGGTGATATCGACTGCCCATGCGTCTGCACTCATTTCCTCCTGCATGGCCATTCGAGAAGCTGGATTCTACAGCTGGAAGCGTGTTGCGCAGACACAGGTAAGTTTTTACATATTTGGCAACTTTTTATTTTTTTAAATGTTTTTGCATATATCTACTGCTTGCTGGAAGTAGATATATGTAAAAAAAATTAGACTTTAATACCACTTAAGGCAGAGCTCCATCTTACACGTATACTTACAAAAAACAACTTCTATAAGGATTCTAAACCTTTCTAAACCACTACAGCTCATCAGAGTGTATTTATTTATTTATATCAAAAGTAACGAGAAAAACTTTTGATTATTTAGTAAACGTACTTGTTCTATTTCTTACATTACCATCTAATGGATATAAAGGGAATTTATTTTATAATATCCCTGCTAAAATGACTGTATGGGTTTGTTTGTTTGTTTGTTTATTTGGTTTTTTTGTTTTAATAATAACAGTTTATTAGTTTTACACAAGAAAAGAGAGAAAACAAAAGGCAAGAATAGTCACCAGGTAGATGCAATACACATTATGCAAACAGCACATAGGCAAACTGCGATCGTATCACAAAAATGAAAAACGGCTAAACTTAACCGACATTGGTCCAATGTCACCCAAACATGTGTGACCTTCTCCTACGAGGAGAAGGGAAAAAAAGGGGGGAAATATGCATCCAAAAGTAAGCGGAAAAAAAAAAAGAATCAAGAAAAAGGAAGGAAAGGAAATAAAAAAAGTTTCCTTGAAGAGCAGTAAGAATGATTGCCTGCTGGAGAACACAGCACAGCCCAAAGAAGTGGTCAGTCAGGGTTCATGTCAGGTTCATTTGAAAGTGGTTAGAGCTAGTAAAATTGGTCCAGATACTCCATTTAAACATGTATTGCTGAAATCAATCTTGGAGGTGTGCTGTCAGTTCTTCCATGTTTTGCAGTTGGTTGAGTTCAATAACCCATTCCCTAACAGAGGGAGGGAGAGTTGATTTCTAGTGCCACAAAATGACCATATACTCACCACCATAAGGAAGGAGGCCTTTTTTGGCTACAGAGAGAGAACCTGGGAGTAGAAAGAGGGGAGCAACTTTCAGTTTTGGTTGAAGTTGAAGGCCCATAATCCTTTCAGAAATCTCAAAAACCACTGACCAGAAGGCAGATATCAAGGAACATGACCACAAAATGTGAAGCATAGTCCCCCAATCCACACCGTAATGCCAGCAGTGGTCCAAAGAGCCTGAAAATATTCTGTGGAGGATGGTAGGGCTCCTAATGCAAGTATGTATGTGCCGCACTATACTAAATAATGACACAATATGAACTAAATAATGTACCAGCAGCTAAGGATTTTGTAGTTTTCCTCCTGACCTATTGTGGCAAAGCATTATTTGTTGGTCAGGGGTCTCTTTCCGAGATGTGGAGAGGGAGTAGTCGCCGCTCTCTGCAGGGAGAATATGTGATTGCTCAGTTCTCTATCAATAGAGCCGACGTGTGACAGCTTCAGTTTTGGGACCAGGCAGTCCCTTCTTCAGGCAAACAAAAGTGTGATCCGGACCCTGACACACATCGTACTAGCACACACAAGGGTGGCTCCAAAGGACCCTGCAATGAGCCATCCTAAAACAGAATATCAGGAAAAGTGCTCAGTGTACCAGCTGACACTGCAGGAAACTAAAACATTTAAGCATTCATTGTAATAGCATTTGAAACAGCTTAAAAACTTTTTGAATTTAATATGACTTTAAACATTGCTGAAGATTTTTGATCTTTGAAGAATTAATGTATTTATTTGTAGTATTTTTAGTAAGCATGTTTTAGTAGTTAGACGTATAAAAAGTAAACAAGTATTTCCCAACAATTCACTGGATTTT